TGAGATGGGGTGGGGGAGCATGTGGGGGGTGCCCTGGGGACATGTGGCGTGAGATGGGGGGAGCTCTGGGCCATGAGGGGCATGGGGGGAGCTGTGAGAGAGGCAGTGGGGCACTGAACCAGGTTGGGGCAGGGGTGCACAAGGGGAGGGAGCCATGTGGATGGGGTGGGGGAGCACTGGGGGTGTGCAGGGGTGAGATGGGGCAATATGGGTTGGGGAGAAGGAGCACTGAGGGGAGGGGGGTGGAGTGCTGTGGGAGAGAGGGGTTGGGGGTAGGGAGCTGGGGCTGGAGGGAAATGGGGGATGGTGGGGGGTGAGGGTGCGTGGGGCAGGGGTTATGGTGAGATGGGGAGCAGGAGAGTTGGGAGGGATGAAGGGAAAAGAGGACACAAGCTGCAGGAGGGTGGGGATAAGAGGATAGATGGAGGAGTTTGGGGGGCACTGAGTGAGGAGAGGATTGGTGGGGCAGGAGAGGGATGGAGATGGGACAGCCTGGGGAACTGGGAACAGTGAAGTGGGGGTTCTGGTACGGTGTGGGGGGCAGAGTCTGTAACGCTGTAGGGGGAGTGAGGGGGCAGGGTTGATGTAATGCTGTGGGAGGTGCGGTGTGGGAGGCAGGGTCTGTAACAGTGTGGGGTGCAAGGCCTGTAACGCTGTGTGGGGCAGGTATGTGTAACGCTGCGGGGGGCAGGGTCTGGAATCCTGGGGAGGGGCGGGGTGCAGGATCTGGAACACTGTGTGTGGGCTACGGTGTGGGGGGCAGGATCTGGAACGCTGTGGGGGGGTGCGGTGGGGGGGGCAAGGTCGAACGCTGTGGGGGTGTGCGGGGCTGGATTTGTAATGCTGGGGCGGGGCTGCAGCGTGTGGGGTTGGAGGGAGCAATGTGGTGGTTTCCCCAGTTCTGTCTGCTCAATGCCCTCTTCTCCCTCGGATGCTGTCGGGGAGCCCTTTTCTGGCCCCAGTCTCTGTGCAGCACCCTGTGAGGTGCATTGGGGTGAGGGGGGCCTGCATTGGAACCTTTCCGATTCTCTGGGGTTGCCCCTAACTCCTCTTTTTGTTTCCCTGGTGTGGGTGTGTGTTTGGGGGGGGAGGGGCTGGTGGTCATTGTAAGTTTATTGGTAAGGGGAGGACTTTGGCATGGGGGGGGGTGTCTCTTGTTTCTGTGGTGTGACAGCAGGGCAGGTTGGGATCCTTGCTGCTATTGTGTGCTGTGAAAGCGAAGCAGGGTGTCGGACTGAGCGGCGGTTTGGGACAGGACTTTGGGGTACCTGTTCCTGCTCTGTGGGACTCGTAGCTGTTCAGGCGTGAAGACGGGGTGTCTGGCCCCATGGCTGGGGACAGGGGACTCTTGGATATGTGTCCCCTTTTCTGTCTCAGTTGGGGTGTGTGTATGGGACATGGGAGAAGCCCAGGGCTGGGAAAGCAGGGGGCGGGGCGGGATTGCTGGGGCAGCAGGGGGCTGTGGAACGGGATTAAGGGGTAGAGCTGGGATGGCAGGGGGCTGTGGGTCGGGATTAAGGGGCAGCAGCAGAATTGAGACAGCAGGAGACTGGGGCAGTGGCAGAGCTGGGACAGCAGGGGGCTGTGGGTCGGGATTAAGGGGCAGAGCTGGGATGGCAGGGGGCTGTGGGGCAGGAGTGAGGATGGGCATGTATGTGGGAGCATCTGGCCTCTCTAGCTGGGAGCCAGGGATTGAGATGTTGGAGGTGCATCCAGTAACCCCCCCCTCCCCGTGTCTCCCATGCAGCCGGACCTGGACTCCTACTCTCCCTTCTCCATGAGGCCTGGTGCTGACTGACGTGACCTGCGGAGGCCCCGATTGTGACACTCACTGGGGAGGGGAGCCCTAAACCCCTCCCCACTGTGACAGCCCCCTCTTCGTGGGCCCCCCCCCCCCGCCATGGCTGACCCCATCATGGACCTGTTCGACGACCCCAACCTTTTCGGCTTGGACTCCCTGACGGACGAAGGCTTTACCCAGGCACCGCCTGACCCCATCGAAGAGGCGCTGGGACTGCCGGGGACACTGGACCCCTCCCAGCCGACTCCGCCCCCTGCCGCAGAGCCTGTCCAACCAGAGACGCTGCCAGGGCAGTCGAATCCCACGCCCGCCCCCCCCCAGCCGGACCCTCCGCAGCCAGGGCTCCCCCAGGGGCAGGAGGTGCTGAGGCAGGGGAACCCGTTCATGGGCGTGTCCAGTGCCAGCACTGCCGTGGTGTCGTCCTCCTCCGTTGGGGGGCAGCAGCTGCCTCAGGCTGCAGCCCCCCTGTCAGCCCCCAAGATTGTCATCCTGAAGGCCCCGGCGGGCGGCTCAGTGACGGGGGCCCATGTGGCTCAGATCCAGACCCAGCCCCAGCCGCTGGGGGCGGCCAATGGGGGCAAGGTGACCTTTGCCAAGGTACTGACAGGCACCCCGCTGCGCCCTGGTGTCTCCATCGTCTCCAGCAATGCCGTGCTGGCCACCAAGGTGTCCCCCTCGGGCGGCCCCACCACTGTGCACCGGCTGGTCCAGCCTGGTCGGCCCGTCAAGCAGCTGGTGTTGCAGCCCGTGAAAAGCCCGGCAGGGGGCACGGGGGCTGCAGGCGGAACACCCCTGAAACCTGCTGTGACCCTGACATCCGCCCCTGCTCAGGTAAGGGGGCTGGGGGGCAGGCATGTCTGACCCCAGTGTGAAAGAGTCAACACTCATTCTGCTGTGGGTGTGGGGTAGGGGCACTTGGGGGAGGCTGGTGTCTAACCCCCATTGCTCTTTCCCCCACAGGGCGAGTCGAAGCGCATCACCCTGGTGCTCCAGCAGCCGCAGGGTGGGGGCGGCCCCCCCGGGCAGCGCCACGTGGTGCTGGGCAACCTGCCAGGGAAGATCGTGCTGCAGGGCAACCAGCTGGCGGCCCTGAGCCAGGCCAAGGGGGCACCGGGCCAGCCCGCCAAGGTTGTGACCATCCAGCTGCAGGTGCAGCAGCCCACCGGGGGTCAGCCTGGGGGGCCTCAGAAGATCCAGCTGCTGCAGCAGCCCCCGGCAGCAGGTGCCTCAGGGCAGCAACCTTCCCTGGCGGTCTCTTCCGTTCAGCAGGCCCAGGTGGTGGGCGGCCCAGGACAGAGGCTGACGGTGCCGCTCAAGGTTGTGCTGCAGCCGCAGGTGAGCTGGGGAATGGAGCCTGCTTAGGGAGAGCTGCCCAAGGGTGGGGGCCTATGAAGGTGTCTGTGAAGGCTCCCTGGGCCCATCCCTATTGTGTGACTTTCCCCTAGGCCACTCGTCCCAGGGCGGCTCCCTGGGGGGAAGGCAGGGTCTGAGGGGAGTTTGGGTCAGGGGGTGATGGTCTCGTCCCCCCAGGCTGGCTCGTCCCAGGGTGGCTCGCCTGGGCTCTCCGTGGTGAAGGTACTGAGCAGCAGCGAGGTGGCGGCGCTGTCCAGCCATGGCACACGCGGTGGCTCGGAGGAGACCCGCAAGCTGGAGCACCAGAAGAAGCAGGAGAAGGCGAACCGCATCGTGGCGGAAGCCATCGCCCGGGCGCGGGCTCGGGGCGAGCAGAACATCCCCCGGGTGCTGAACGAGGACGAGCTGCCCAGTGTGCGGCCCGAGGAGGAGGGCGAACGCAAGCGGCGCCGCAAGGGCGAGCGTGGGGGGCCCAAGGAGGAGAGGCCTCGCAAGGGCCGGGGCCAGGGGGGCTCTGGCAAAAGCAAGGGGCGCAGCAAGCCCAGGTGAGACCCCTCATACAGTCCGCCCCCCCCCCCCCAATCCGGAGCCCCCATCTCATCATGCAGTCCCCCCCAGGGGAGACTTGACCGCCCCAGCCCAGAGACACAGGAAACTCAGGGTTGAAGGCTGGAGAGTTTCCCCATCTTCCCCTGTTCCAGCCCCACCCCACCTTTCCCCAGCCCCTCTGGTCCCATCTACCCCATCTTGCCCTTGGGGGGTGCAGGCAGGTGGCTGGTCCCTGGTGGGGGTTGTATTGGGAGCTGCAGCCAGTGCCAGAGGGGTTGGGGCTAGATCTGGGCTGGGGTGGGAGCTGTGCTGGATGCTGGTGAGAGGTGGGCAGCGGCTCTGTCTGCCCAGCAGAGCGGAGCCCTGGCCTCCCTTCCCCCGCGCTCCCCCGCAAAGGGGTGTGAGCTCAGCCCCCCCCTCACTCTGCCTGTCTGTCCCCTGTTGTCCCCGTCCCCCCCTCCCAGCACCATCACCCCCGTAGTGGGGAAGAAACGGAAGCGGAACGCCTCCTCTGATAACTCGGACACTGAGGCCATGCCAGCTCCATCCCCCCGTGAGGAGGAGGAAAGCAGCGTCCAGGTGAGGAGACTGGGGTGTGCGTGGTGTATGGGGGGAGTTGATGCACTGCCCACGGGGGGACCTGGGTACACAGGCTGCCCGGACACTTGGGTTCCCTGCCTGGGAGGGAAGCAGTGTGATCTCTGCGGGGGGGGGAGTGAGTGGGGCAGGGGGCTGTGCCCTGCACCCCATGTGTGTGGGTGTGTGTGTCTGCCCCGCTGCCCTCTAACCCCTTGTGTATATGTGGGGGCTCTGTCCGGGCTCTGTGTGCAGTGTCTGTCCTGGGGTGTCTCTAACACGTGCCCCACTCCCACACCCCCAGAAACGTCGCTCCAACCGGCAAGTGAAGCGGAAGAAATACACCGAGGATCTGGACATCAAGATCACGGACGACGAGGAAGATGAGGAGCTGGACGTGACGGGGCCAGTGCGGCCCGAGCAGCCTCCCGCGCCACAGCCCCCTGCCCCTGAGCCAGAGGGAGAGACCCTGCCCTCCATGCAGTTCTTCGTGGTGAGTCCCCTGCCCCAACCTGCCTGGGCCCCAGGGGGATGCGGGGAGCAGGACCACTGTTCCCTACACCTTTCCTGTGTAAGCCTGGGGATGGGGTAAGAGGGGCCCCAAGGGTGTTCGGGCTGTGAAGTGTGATGCAGCTGCAGCTAGGGCCCAGTCTGCAGTCTGGAAGGCAGGGTGTGCGTGTAATTCCCACTCCCCCAATCTCTCCCATCCCTGCCCTCAGGAGAACCCCAGCGAGGAGGATGCTGCCATCGTAGACAAGGTGCTGTCCATGCGGGTGGTGAAGAAGGAGGTGAGCGCTCACGCTGTGAGGATGGGTCTGACGCCTCCCAGGCACCAGGTCCTGCAAGAGGGGGCCAGGGACTGGGATATGGGGCCTTTCTCCTCTAGGGGGTGCTGGCTGCAGTCTGGCCACAGGGGAGGAGGGTGGAGGGGTGGGGTGTTTAGGGATTTGAGTACAGGGTGTCAGCAGCACTAACCCCCACCCCCCGTCTCTCTCTCCAGCTCCCCTCAGGGCAGTTCACGGAAGCAGAGGAATTCTTCGTCAAATACAAGAACTAGTAGGTGTCATGCCCTTCCCCAAGGCGTCTAGGTGCCACTACCCCCTGGAGTGCTCTGAGTCCAGCTCCCCACCTGCCCCCACGTGGTGTGGGGAGGGTGCAGCCGCATCTCCCCAGCTCTGGTTTTCCCCTGCAAGGGCCTGGGGGGAGGGGAGGGGAGGGGGCAGATGGATCTGGAGCACCTAGTGCCACAGACTCTGGGTGTCAGGGGCACTGGTGTGGCCACTCACCACTAGCACCGCATGTGGGCACCAGCACCCAGTTGGGGAGGGTCAAGGGTGCCGAAGGGATGGAGCATGGGAGCCTTTTAGAGCTGGTTGAAACATTTTCAGCAGAATAGTTTCTCTCCAAAAATAATAAATAAATAAGCCCAAAAATGTGTTGGCTCTGTGACAATTTCAACCAAACTTTTGACAAGAAGATTCTCGTTCCAGGGATGTCCAGGAAGTAAAAGTGTTTCATTTTGACTGGCTCTCTTTTGACTCAACTTTTCTATTACCAAATTGGGATGTTCCATTTATGAACATTATCCTGGGGCCTGAAGACCCAGGCAGGTTCTCTTAATCCGGGGCCATGAAGAGAAATTGGTGTTAGTCAGGTCTGCTCTTTGCTGCAGTCCTAAAGAACCAACACACAATCCTGTGCCCTGGGACACGATAAGGCAGTTTCCTGGCCCGTGCTCTCCAGGCCTACCTCCACGGCCAGTCCTGTGGCCCAAGGAGCTCCATGTCTCAGCTCCCTCCCTAGGCCATACTCCTCGCTGCATCACTTCTTTCTGCTGGCTTTCCGGCTTTCCCACACACAGAGCTCTGCTACCAGTCAGCCCCCAGATCCTGCCTCTGCAGCCAGACCTTTTGCCTGGGGGGATGGTTTCCTACCGCTCCCAGCCGTCACTACCTAACAGGGCATTGAACTGCTCCTTCCATTTAGCTTGACTGAAGGATGGCTGGTGCACCACCAGCTCTGTGGGACATGGCCGCTGTCGACGCCCGCCAGCACAATGTATCATGTTGTCTGTTTTCATATAAAATGAGACTACTTGAAACCATAACTTCTTAAGGCTCCACCTTCACCCTATGGAAACGGCGGGTTTTCATGCCCATGGGTCACACTTGTTTCGGGGGGTTTGTTTCTCGGGAGATTCGGAAATTTCTGCTTCTGTTCAGATTCTGAATGGAGAAAACTCAGCACTATCAGAATTTCCACGCGCGGAATTCAAACTCCCAGTTTCTGGCCAGGTATAATATCGCTCATGTGGTGTCCATCCGTTTGTCTGTCTGTCTAACCCCTCTGCCCTTCCTCCAGCTCGTATCTGCACTGTGAATGGGCCACCATTTCCCAGCTGGAGAAGGACAAGCGAATCCACCAGAAACTCAAACGCTTCAAGACCAAGATGACCCAGATGAGGCACTTTTTCCACGAGGTACCAGGGGGCGGGCGGGTGGGTGAAAGCCATGGGGGGGACCACAGGGTCAGAGCAGCGGTGACACTTCCTGGGGGTACCCGAGGCTGTGAGGCCCCTCTCTACCCCCTGCCCTGAGTGTGAGGGCAACCCACCACCCCAACTCCATGGGCAACACAAGCACTGCCCCCTGGGCCTCACCTGCCCCACTGTTACTGTATTGGTTAGCGATTGACATGCCCCAGCTCCTGGGCCCTCCGTGCCTCCCCTGGCCGCTCGCAGCATCCACAGACTTGCTGCTCCCAAAGAGGCAGGACACCCTCAGATCATCGCTCCCTCAGCACAGCACTTGGATACATTTAGAGCTGCAGTTCTCAGCCCGCGGCCCAGTCAGCACGCAACTGCGGCCCGTGTGACACCCTCAGGGCCCTACAGGTAGTGGGGGGCAGCCTATGTAACAAACAGAGCTACATATGCAACCCGCAATGGTAACTAGGATGAGAACCTCTGGTTAGTAGTGAAAACGAGGATATGGTTTCATTAACAAAGCGTAGAGATTCCAATTGCAGTAAGTAAAGTATTGGAAAGAGAGGGTGACTAGAAAATGAAACACCACCACCCATTCCAGAGCATGGACTGACTGTGCTAGAGACTCTCCTGTCTCGATGAGTATTGCTCACCCAGATTCTTTGCAGCACTTTGCGGCCAGGTTGGCTGTGACCCTGGCTGGCTGCCTCCCAGGTGAAGGCACTGGAGTGCGTCGCTTTGCACTCCGAGGTGCAGCAGAAATCCTCGGCTGTTCCTCCTATACAGGATGCCCCCCCGCTGTCTGTCATTCCTGTAGATGCTGCAATCTCTTCTGCAGATAGGTGCACGTTGTGAGGCAGACAATAACCACATGGCCAGACAGAGAGACCCTGGGGGCGTTTTGCCTTCCTCTGCGGCGTGGGTCACTTGCAGGTTTAAACTAGTGTCAATGGCGGATTCTCTGTAACTTGAAGTTTTAAACCATAGTTTGAGAACGACAATAATTCAACCAGAGGTGTGGGGTCTGTTGCAGGAGTGGGTGAGGGTCTGGGGCCTGCGACGTGCAGGAGGTCAGACTAGACGATCACGATGGTCCTTCCTGGCCTTAAAGTCTCTGAGTATTTGAGAAGTGTCTGGTCCCGCTGGCCTGAAAGCAGCGTTTCCGAGGGTGTTGCCACCCTAACGCCAAGCCCTTAGGAACATAATTTCCAGCACAGACCCGGAACTCTATAAATGTTCTCTGTACGTGCGTTTCCCAAGGATTAGTGACCAGTGGGCTGCCGGCTCGCAGTACAGACCTCACTTGCCACCCTTTGGTGAGCTCTGACACACCTAACTGACCCAGGAGGCCCCTGTGAAGCCCTATGCCCGCCGTGCCCTCTGCCCATTGGCATCCAGGGGTCCGTTCTGGCACTGCAGCCATGGGACTGACTCCTTCCCCGCAGCAGTGGAGGACTGGGCGGGTGGGAACTGGGGGTCCCCGGCCAGGACGGGGTGAGTGCCAGCCCTCAGGGAGACTGGGGACAGGGCGAGGGGAGTTATGTACGTCTCCTCCCCAGGATGAAGAGCCTTTTAACCCTGACTACGTGGAGGTCGACCGGATCCTGGATGAGTCTCACAGTGTTGATAAGGACAACGGAGAGGTGACCAGGGTGGGGTGGAGGGTTTAGCTGTGTGGGGAAGGGGAAACTGGGACAGTGAGGTGTGGGGGGTAAGTGGGGTCTGGGGCAGAGGCCAAGGCTCTGGGGCTCCAAACCCCCCTGATTTATGGGGGGCTATTGGGGCTTGGAGTGAAGCTCCAAGGAAACTCGCTCCGGGGGTGGGGTTGGGGACTGGGAACAGGCACCAGTGAGGACCTCCTCCCCCCAATTTTCCCCTCCCTGCACATGGCCCTGGCCTGGTTGGAGAGAGCTGACACTCTCGGTGGGGCAGGGATGAGCTGTGGCGGCTGGGTGCTGTGGGAGCCCCTTGTGACCATGGGCCTGTCCCTGTACCCGCAGCCAGTGATCTATTACCTGGTGAAGTGGTGCTCCCTGCCTTATGAGGACAGTACCTGGGAGCTTAAGGAGGACGTGGACGAGGGGAAGGTCCGTGAGTTCAAACGCATCCAGGCCCGGCACCCTGAGCTCAAACGTGTGGTGAGTGACAGTCTCTGGCTCCACCCCCCCAGTCCCAGCACTAGAGCTGCCAACTTTCTAATAATACAAAACCGAACACCGTTGCCCTGCGCCTTCTCCAAGGCCCCATCCACTCCATCCCCCCTCCCCCACCCTCACTCACTTTCACTGTGCTGGGACAGGGAGTTGGGATGCAGGGAGGGCTCCTGGGGGGGCCAGAAATGAGAGGTTCTGGGTGCAGTGCAGAAGGGGGCTCTGACCTGGGGCAGGGGGTTGGGGTGTGGGTGGCTCCCGGAAACGACCGGCCTGTCCAGCTCCTAGGCATGGGGCAACCAGATGGCTCTGCTTGCACCCGCGGGTGCCACCCCCTCCCACAGGCGCCGCCCCTGCAGCTCCCATTGGCTGCAGTTCACGGCTAATGGGAGCTGCGGAGCCAGGGCGGGGGCAGCACATGGAGCCACCATGGCTGTTCCTCCGCCTAGGAGCCAGCCAACCAGACTTTAAATGGCCCGGTCAGCGGTGCTGACTGGAGCCACCAGTAGGGTTACCATAATTTAAGCCTCCAAAAGGAGGACACTCCACAGGGCCCCACCCCCGCCCCCAGCCCCGCCCCCCAACTCCGCCCCTTCCCCAAAGTCTCCACCCCCTCGCCTGCTTCCCACGAATATTTGATTCGCGGGAAGCCTGAAGCAGGTAAGGGGAGTGTGGGGGGGAGGAGACGCGGCCCAGTCTGGCGCCCCCCCGCCCCCCACGTCTCCAGCCTGGGTCAGCCCG